ATTTCTAACACTCCATCAGGCAGGACAGGACGACACTTCAAAGCGAATAATTGGCAAGATTATCGCTTTTGTAAGAATATCTTATGTTCAGATTTGATTCTATTTGGCGTATGTATCGATGTAATTAATTTATTTTATCTGTTATCATATTCTTCGAGTTCTCTGCACTGCCTTAAGTCATTCGACATGTCTTTGTGGCCTCAATTCAAGCGAAAAGATTTTCCTCCTCCTCTTTAGTCGTGCTATGCTCATAAGGTTTTTCTACGCGTTCGAGTCTATGTACACATGTGCCTCAGTTTCTGTGTGTATGCTTATTCTTTCTTATGCGATTTTATGGTTAAACCTTTTTTTCTCCTATAAACTAAATAACTGTTTTGTCTGTAATGCCAATATCATCTTAAAAATGCTTTCTGTTCTTATTATTACTTTTTTTTATTTTCATTTTTTTTTTTTTTCCTTTCGTTTCTTTTGTTTTTGTGACTATAAATAATACTTCAATATTTGTTTGCCGTTGGCGTTTACAAACACATGCAAATATCTAACCGCACACCCACACATACAAACATAAAGTTTATATACATAAAGCCATGCATCGTAGTAGTAAGTAATAGACAATAACAAGGAAATGCAATCATGAAAATGTTATTCGTAAAAATAGATTATTTTCCTTTCTCGTTTCATTCAAAATATTATTATTGATAATATTGGTTTTATAAAAATGTGACTAAAAGGAAAGCCGATTTACGAAAAAGTATACGTTTACATACACACTGCTATCTATTGTCTTTTAAATGTAATTCAGATACTTTTTAAAAGTAAAGATGGATGATCTAATTGGAAGCATTTCTTAAATACATCACAACTTGTTCTTCTTAACTTAGTCATCGTAACGACAACAAAAGACATCTTTCATACCTATCATCCAAAATCTATTCGTTCGACTTTTATAAGACTTAGTTAATCAATCCGTACGGATTTTTTCTTTTCCAGTCTCCAGTCCAGTCTCGCCTTAGAGAGTACGTAAGTAATCGTATAAAGTTTCGGATCGCAGCCGGGATTTCATATGTTACTCAAAACAAATGAGTTAAGAGTTATACCTTGTTGTGAATGGACGAAGTCTTAGTTACAATTTTCATCTGTAAACGTCAACTCATTGAGTACGTGAGCTTTCTAAAAAGTGGTAACAGATAGTTGAAGTGCCAATAAAATGATGGCCGCATTAAAATAAATTGATTCAGAAATAAAGCTGATCAGAACTAAACTATATTATTATGTTTACATATGTAAAGTCTTTAAGATACGAGGTGTGTTCAAAAAAAAAAAAAAAAAAAAAAATTCTATTTTTTCCTTATATAACCCAATGCTATACAAATGGAACAACAATATAACCACATTCCTCAATGGAATTTTATATGCTTATATACATGATTGTGCCAAAGGCGAAGATTCTTCTCTTAGTCATTCTTAGTACTTTTGGGTAACATAGATGGCAGCAATCTGGTCCAAAGGTCGACGGTTGCAAACGGATAGACGCAAATGTAATTGAAAAACTATATAGTTCGGTAGCAATGAGGAGTTTCGCCCTTTATCCCACTCAAGAAATACACGCGCTAAAGCCCTTACTTATCGGACGGGCTGATCTTATGCCCTGGGCCACTCGTTACCCTGCCCTACTTATGGTCTCTCTCGGACCGTGATTTTATATTAGAGAATGAGTGAAAATATGAACATACTCAGTATAATTCGAGCAATTGCAAGACGATAATCTTATAGAGAAACGCACGTACAATTACGCTTAAATTTTCCTATATCCACCAATGTCCAACTGCTGGAAGAATTTCATTGACTGAAAGGTAAAAGCATGTGACGTTTTTTCAATAAAATTGTTGTCGGGGGGGGCAATGTTCTAGAAAGAGACTGGCTTCTTGTAAAACGGGTAGAATGGATGCAAAACTTGGACATTCACTATTTGAAGAGTAAAAAGTCTTTTAGATCAGCGCTCTCCGGGTTACTTGTAGAAGTATTTTCTTTGTGTTTTTTTTTTTTTTTTTTTTTTTACACTCAATCAACATTTAGTTAATAGAAGATGGACGAACAGACGAACATAAGGCTAGATTAAAGAACGTTTTAATGCAGATTAATACTGTTTTGTACTCTTGAGTGTATCAACGTAAGAATATTCGAATTTTATCACGAAAGTTATAAGGAAAAAGGAAGCGACACTTAAGCTACCTTTGCTCGTACGAATAATGTCCGAACTACTATTTTGAAGTAAAAAGGTTTAGGAAAAAATTTCCTTTTCATTGCAGGTCATTTGAATAATTAATAGACAACCTTTTGAGAAGTCTAACCCATGCTCTTTACACTTTTTATAGGCTCTTGTATATATATCACATTTACTTTTCATTAGAGCTGTTTTGCCTTAATTGAATTAAAACTATCGTTTACACTCCCACAAATGTATACACATACATGCATATACAAATACACAAGCGTACATAATCGCAAGCACATTTACGCAGTATACTTTATATTTAAAAGAGTTTTCTGCTTTGCCCAACATACATCGTATATCGTACTTTACATATATATTCGCACACTCTTTATACGCTTTTTATGTACTCGCAATATGCACACATCGTCGGCAGCTATATATATATATATATATATATATATATATATATAGGCATGTTTATATGTATGTATGTATGTATGTGCATGACATGGATTTTTGGGCTATTTAAAATTCGATTTGAAAGAAATTAGCATAAACAAACATTTGGCAACGGTTGCCAAATAAAATGAAATGAAAAATTACAAAATGCAGACAAAAACTCTGAATGCAGAAAACGACGGCACATGTCCGCCTCCTGTTTTATATATCTTATATACGATATACCTTGCATATAATCTCATGTATATATATATATATATATATATATATTTTTTTTTTTTTTATTCTATGTATTATATATATATATATATTTATGTATATTTATATGCATATATATGTAAACGCGCTTTAGGCAAAGTTTCTGCGTCGCCACTACAATCGACATTCATTCGTTTATATCTTTTATGTGGCTTGATTAACTAACAACTAACAACGCATGGGCTCATAACGTGTCAGCGGTTTTTTTATTTTTATTTTTATTTTTATTCTTTTTTTTTTTTTTTTCTGGTAACTTATGGCAAAGTAGTGTAATATATTGAACCTATCTATAATATTTCTTCATTTATATACTATCCAGGAGGCGCGCGGTTCGATTTTGATATGTAGAAGAATAAAATTAATATATGGTGACGTCAATTAAACGCGATTCGTATACCTCGGAAAATCAAAAACAACTTCTCTCAATTATAGCTGTTAAGAGCCGTTAAGACGGTCTGTATTAGAATTTTAAAGCAAAAACTTAATTTTACTTTGTTACTCAATTTTGACTCAATAAGGTTTTAGTATTTAGGGCAGTGGCCATTCTTCAATTCGGGGCTTTTTATAAAATTTTCAAGTTTTTCTGATTCTTTTAAGTGAATGAGCTTCTGACAAAACGCTACTATGGAAGAGTGTTCCCAATAGGAGCTGGCTTCGTCTATCTTTGGTATGGATTCGTTTTTTCTGTCAAACATCTACTACTCGCTCATTTTCGCCATGAAGTATAAACAACGTTTTCTGTAAAATCCTAAAAAAGGGTTTAAAAATGCATCTGTGTTGGTCGATGTGTTATTTATTCTGTTCAAATTTTTGTCAATATTATATTAATTCTTCGCATATTTTATCGCTTATTTATAAAAAATTTTACATTTTTTCTGGTCTATATTTCGCATAATTAATTTTTTTTTTTCCTAGCATATGAAATCTTAAATCTTTGAAAAGCATAACAAATGCTGTCTAAATATAACGCAAAGCAAATCTTCTACGAGTAATCTCTGTTCTGAGTCAAATTTTCAATCTTCTCACTCTCTTCCGTTTATGAGAGGTTTATATGAGGTAGTGTTCAAAAAGCGTTTCCCATCTCCCCAACGTAATCTAAATTTTTGTTCTTCATTTTACATGTGTAATGACTTTTTTAAAATACGACTTTATGTGGGGAGTGGCTGTAAACATGGGGACGACTTAATCCATTTGCAAAAGCCCATGGGTCATTTGCCGATTGAACGTAAAAGTAAACGGTCATAAAAAAGATGGAGGG